AGAAAATATAGCTGTTCTATGAGGCGTGGTCCTGAGATCTCTCTTAAAAATGTAGTAAGCAAGGTTACTAAGAAAGCAAGATCCACATACAAAAATAACGCATTTCTGTGTATAACAAGGAACTAAAAGAAGGCAACAATTCCATTTATAATGGTGTCATAAAATATTTTTTATTGTTAAGACAGCAAGAAAGCTCCCCAAATGTATCTACAGGTTATAAATGATACCTAGTAAAATCCTGGTTACCTTCTTTGCAAAAATTGGCCTCCTGTAAATCACATAGAGATACTGGGAGGGACCCAGAACAATTAAAACCATCCTGTAAAAAAATAAAACTAAAAGAATTACATTTCTCCACGTTTAAACTGACTACTAAACATATTCATTAAGAATAGTGTGGAATCATATAAAGATAGACACAGATTGATAGAATACAATTAGAGGCCATAAACAAATCCTAATATTGATGGTCAACTTATCTTTCAACAAGGATGCCAAGAGAGTTTTGTGGGAAAGGGACAGACTTTAAAAAGAAATGGTGCTGGACTAACTGGATATCTATGTATTAAAAAAAAATGAGCATCTTACATAAAAATTAACTCAGACCTAAATTTAACAACCAAAATTATAGCCTTTTAAATTGCTCATTCTTAAGAAACTGTTCTGAATTGTCTTTGTAATCTCTCTGGCTTCAACTTAGTAACCGAATAAAGGGTTTTTAAGGATCTAAAAACAGAGCTCTATAAAAATATATGATCAGAAAGGAGGATGAAATAGTTCAGACCTAAGCTTCATATATCATTTAAAGTATTTTCAACTAACTGTATATATACAACAATATAACTGGTGCTTTAGCATCTTCCAGGGGTCTTTGTGCATGTGTAAAATTATTTCCAAGATTTCTCCAAAGATCAAAATATAATGACAATGTAAAGTTAGGAAACTCATATCTTAAATACAATTCTAATGACAACTCAGGCTAGCTCCAAATAAAAGGACAGTTAGCTAAAGTGGTGTACGGTAGAACTCTCAATTTACTATTTAGAAATTATCTGAATGGAATGATTATAAGGAAGTATCTTTGATTTTAGAAAATATATGTTGACTATGAACTTATTGCATTTGGAAATATCAGGTGTTTCTCCAGTAATCTCTGGAAAAAATGATGCCCCAGATAAATGATATAATTACTATATGAACCAAAACTGCATAGCTGTGTAAAGCAGGCGTGTAGCATCTTCTGCCCTTGTCCCGGCCTGTTATCTTTTCCTCCATGTATCTGAGATATCTTTGTTTTAAGTTGCCTTTAATGAGGCAGATAGTACACGGAATTCATGTTTACTATGCCATTTTCTCGTGTGACGCAGGGATAGATAATCTAACATCCAGGTAAAAAATTTCCATCATTTGATTTTTTCCCTTGGTAATTTCCTTTACAACCGGCTGTGTTTATTTAGTGTATTTTTTGTTGTAACAGTGATGTACAAAGGGATTACAGTTACATAAGTCAGGTTTTTATAGCACCATAAATTTTTGTAATAAAGCAATGTGTCTGTCCTACTTTGGATATGCTCCGTTATAGGTAGTTTAATGGGGGGTGAAATGTGGCTAAGGATTAGGAGTTCCTGTTTTGCCTTCAGATGACTTGAAACTACTTGCAATAATTAGATTGAGCCCTGGCTTGATTCTGTGAAGAGGAATGAGATACTGATGGCCTCGACAGCGTAGGTTAGTGGATGAAAAGCTAGAAGGGAAGGAAGCCCGAGGTCAGAGGCTGGAGCCCAGTGGGAGTGGTCCAACAGTCCTGAGCTTATTTATCAACAGTGTTTACAGTACACAGTCTCTGCACATGTCAGCCTGTGCTGCACACACGAATGGCTCACCTCAGTGAATAATTCATCTCTCACAAAAGCTCACAGTAACAGGAAAACATAGTGTCAGAACAATTGCAGCATTACTCAGGTCTGTACCCTTGTGCTAAATTTCTTCTTTCTTGTATTACCTCAATTTTGTTTGTGTAAAGTATCTATCAAAAATAAATTCTGGGAAGTTTCTTCAGATGACTCGGTTATATACTATACAGTGCTTCTGGTTGTTCCGCCATAAATTCCTTTTGAACCCTTCATCTTCAGGTTGCCCGGGTTTTGTGCATGGGCATGGTTACCATGTCTTTGCACCGCTCTGCTGCTGGAGTCCTCTAAGTTTGACGTGCTCATCTCAGCTAATGGACCTGACCAGCTGACGGCTGTGCAGAGCTCTGTCTTGTTTTTTTTTTTTCCTTGCTTTGCCTCATTTTTGGCCCTGAGTATTTGCTCTCTTGCCTTTATGGTAGAAACAACATTCCTGTACTTAAAAATCCATTTTCTTTTAATTTATAAATGATTGGAAAATGTAAAAAAATGAATGTGCTTGTGTTTCTAACAATAAATGTAGCTCTCCAAATTTAATGCTGTTGAGAAATTATGGATGTAAATTGGAAGTAATTGGGTCAGGACAAAGCGGCCGTCAGTCTGGCTTTCATTTTTGAATCTAATCCATTTGACATTGTATTCAGTTTTATAGGAAAAGAATCTACAGGAAACATTAACTACCAGAAGTAGTGAGCACCAGTGTGTCTAGAAGTGTGAATAAGAGTGTGGATTAGTTCTCTCAAACTGACCCTTCCTTCACTTGACCCCTGGAGCGTAACCAGCAGCAGCTTTATTATACTCCACAGACTTTCTATAGGACACCGGCTGTGATGCCCCAAAGTTCATATATTGAAGAATTAGTCCTTAGCTGGTAGTGCTGCTTTGATAGGTTTACATATAAAATGGCTCATTAATAAAATGTTAAGTTGGTCAGGCACTGGTGGCTCATGCCTATAATCCTAGCTACTCAAGAGGCTGAAATCTGAGGATTGAAGCCATTTGGGACAAGTAAGTTGTGAGACTCTTATCTCCAGTTAACCACCAAAAAACCCAGAAGTAGAGCTGTGACTGTGAATCAAGAGGTAGAGTGCTATCCTTTAACAAAGAAAAAGCTCAGAAACAATACCCTCTGGCCTTGACTTCAAGCCCCAGGACAAAAAAAACCCCAAAAAAACAAAGTTAGGTTGACACAAGTAGTATTAATGAGAGCCCTACTTCAGACTGACGTAGAATTTACTACTAACCTGCCTGTCATGAGCTGCCCTGCTTCATGCTCAGCATATGAAGTCTTAAAAAGAATTGCAAGTTAGACCAAGTAATCTAAAAAGAAAAATATTTTATTATGTGTAATATATTTGTTAAGTGGATTTTAGGAAAAGGTTTCACTGGGTGAAACCTTCACACCCAGAGGTGAATGCTTTATTTTCCTACAATTTAATGTATGATTTTAGATAATAGAATGCTCATTTTTTCATCTCAGCTCTTTGTTATATAAACTCCTTATTTTTATAAGTATTCCCTATTTTATTTGGAAGCTAGATAGTTGCTAACTAAAGTTAATTCACCTTTATTTAACTACAGTGGCATAAACCAGTCCTTACATAATTGTGATTGTTTCATTTCTGCTTCTTTGAAACTTAAGGGTCCTCTACTTAAGGTTTCGTCACTTTGAAGGGGCTGCATAGAACTCTGTAAAAGTAAAATTTATAAAACTAATGAGCAATAGCTACTTTTAGGGATTTGTAATACTATAATGTATCATATCCATTGTAAAAGCATTTACAGAAGGGTGTCAAATTATAATTACATAATATAGACCCCCTTTTTTTTTAAGAGGATTGTGTTCTAGTGGAAAGTTCCTGGCCAATGGCCTGTTTTCACTCTCACACAAATCCTAACTGACCTATATATGGGCTTAGTTGTGTATGTTTTCCATATCACATATGTCAAAGAAAATAGAGATTAGTGTAGTAATGGGCATTTTGTGACCATGTAAAAATCCTGGCCTTCATTAAAATTATTATACTGTTGTGTATATTCACACTTAGTAGTCATCACACATACCACTATATCAGTGTCAGTAGAATCTTTGTTATCTATTCTCTTAGTCAAGTGCAGGAGCTCCAAGGGGGGACAGGGGCGGGCAAGATTCAAGCAGTACCTTACGCTCATATGCATGGGCAATGAACTGTTTCTGTGTTGTCCTGTATTTGTATATGTACAGTAAGTTAGATAGCTTTACCTGCCCATCCTTGTGTTGCTCAGGAGCAAACCTTCAACAGCACACCCCCATAGCTCTCTTTTTAGAAACTCACCCAAGAAAACTATCTCCTATTTGGTAGATTGATTTCCTGTTGTTCCAAATGGTACAAATGCACACTAAGGGTTGGGTACATTTGGAACATCTGTTTCTTCTACTAAAACTCCTGTTTCCAAACTACAATTTCTAAAACAGATAGGTCATGTTAATTTGCTGCTACTTACTATCTTTCTCTTACAGTGTGCTATACCATGATTATGAAGTTATAGTGGCTGTTTTCTGTTTTATGCCTCTCTTTCATAGCAGGCAGAAGTTACATTTGTGCCAAATAGTAAGTCTGGCTGCCAAGCCAAGTCCAGGCTGTCTTTGTGTAACTAGAGCTGGCCTGTTAAGGAGCTAGGCACTAGTGGCTCATGCTTTGTACTACTACTCAAAAGGCTGAGATTTGAGGATCACATTGGAAGCAAACCCCAGCAAGAAAGCCCACTAGACCCTTCTCTCCAAAAAACTACTGAAAAAAAGCTGGAAGTGGTACTGTGGGCCAAGTGGTAGAAAAATAGTCTTGAGCAAAAGAAGGGACAGTGCCCAGGCCTAGTTCAAGCCCCAGGACCAGGAAGAAAGGGGGAAGAAAAAGACTGTTATGGGGGAATGGGCTGTACCAGGCAGAAAACTTCTTGTCCTCAGGACCCAAATGGGCATGATAGCGTTCTATGAGCACTCCGTCTTCCATCAGGGACCCCAGCTTCCTGGTTGCACACACACTGCACACATGTAAGCAGTGGCCAGCATTGCTCACGCTGCCCGTTCACTGTTGTTGTTGACTCTCACAGGCACCCTCACTCGGAATGAGATGGTATTCAAGCGGCTACATCTGGGCACCGTCTCCTATGGAACTGACACCATGGATGAGATCCAGAGCCATGTCCTGAATTCCTATTCCCAGGTACATGAATGTGCTTCTGAGCCGAGCATGTGTGCAGTAGCAATCTCCTCTGATAACGTTAGCTGTTACTATGCTTCCTTGAGTGATCATTACTAACATCTCAATCAAGAAACAGCATTGCCTAAACATTTCTACATTAGTGTGGTTATAGAAGACATGCTGGACATATATTATTCGTAAACATTTGCTTAGTGAATTGTTTAAACAATAAAAACAATCCTTTCGCTTTTCTCTGTAATAACACTTTCTTCAACTTTCCAACAGTGCATTCTCTCTTCTTTTTCAGTAACATAAGTAGATGCTGTGCTGCTGTGCTGTGAGCAGTCGTGGAATTTTCACTCAGCTCCAGCAGAGTTGCTGGAGTGTGCATGGCGCATGGCAGGCAGCTTGCTTCATGGCCAGTCTCTCTCTGCCTAGGTTATTTTAACGTAAATCACAAATACTCCATTATTTTACCTGTAAATAATTACATGTTCTTAGTAAGTAGAACTTTTAAAAAAAAAGGCATTACCATCTTACTATAGCTGTTTGAGATTACAAGACCAAGGATTATTTGTTTTGCTTTAAACATTAGGATACAGCTTAGAGTTCATCTGCAGAAGTTTACAAACAGACATGCTGCATGAGTGATTCACTCCTAACTGTCCATGTTCCTGACAGGGCGGGAACTATGTTTAGATCCAGTTGATAATTGATATGGTCCTGGCCACAAATAGTGGAGTTTTCCCCCCTCATTTATTTGACTTCTTTTAGCAAACGGTCATAATTTAGATCTGTGTCAGAATCATTAAGCCCAGCAATTTAATAGCATTTTAAACCTGTATAAAATGCCAAGTCCAGCATTGTAATCTGTCAGGAATTGTTCACCTTCTCAGGCTGCTTCTCTGCCTTTTTGCTAGTCTGCTTGGAATATGGTACTCCCCACTGCTTTAGTGAAGATCCACCTGGCCTCAGTGTGCCATAGCTTACCCTGGTGCCAGGCCAGCACTTCAGCCCCAGGCCCGTGATGGCAGCTACACACGTTACAGTAATCTCTTTCAGATTTGATGCTGCTTCAACTAAAATATACTTTCCCAGTGTAGAAAGTTGTAATAATGTATTCAATTTCTTAATGACTTTCTCTTCTATGTTTGATACTATTCTGTCATATACTTTATTTTTGAGATGTTGCCACATGAAATCATTCTTTTATGTGTTTATATATTTTATTATACGTCATGTTTGTTCTTGTATAAGCGTATATCTATATGCACCAACACCACTGAGTATCTCATGTGGATGTGATTCATTAAGGTATGGAGTTTTTTTTTATAATATAGAATATTTATGTATATTTTTTGTAGTGCAGGGGTTCAGACCCAGTGCCCCACACATACATACTTGGTAAGCATTGACTTACATCCCCAGCCTTAAAATATTTATTAATAGAAGAAAAAACTAAAAAGTAGAACAAATAAAGTCTCCCTTCTCTTAGGAATCTTTGTCAAGTTTGAAATAGTACCAGATAATAACTGTTTTTAAAGTTAATTTATATTATCTATGAATATGATTTTAATAGCTATAAGTAAATTATTATTTTACCAGGAAAAAATTAAAAGCAGAAAAAAATTATTATATAGAGACAACAAATACTTAATACTTATACCTTAAGAAAAATTTAAAGCTCATCCTTACTAAATGCTGTCTATAGGCTAATCATAGAGTGCTTTAGATATGAAATTGATGTTTTTCCTTATTTGTATTCTGTTTATTATTAGAATGGATGTCTAGTAGGTCTGCTATAAGGTAGCACAGATTTTTTTTCCTTTTTTTTTTTTTTTTGTTCCATCCGTAGGACTTGAACTTGTGTGCCTGGGTGCTATTACTCAACTTTCATTCAAGTCTAGTACTCTACCACTTGAGCCAAGGTCCACTTCCAGCTTTTTTGGTGTTTAATTGGAGATAAGAGTGTTACAGACTTTCTTGCCCTGCTGGCTTCAAACAGTGATCCTCAGATCTCAGCCTCTTGAGTAGTTAGGATTATAAGTGTGAGCCACTGGCTCCCAGCTTCACACAAAACTTTTCTAACCTGATTATATTTCCCCACTAGACACATTTGGTAGTAGAATGCATCATCTTTAGTGGCATTTGTGTGAAATTTACTTGCATGAGTGAATGCAACAGGATGCAGAAGAGGAGATGGCTGAGCCCCTCTTCTGCTGGGTGGGCATCATGTGAGCCAATACAACTGAACACCAAGCTGACCCCTCCCAGACTTACTGGCTCTGGCCCTAGTCTGCTTTCTAAGGACTGTTGTGAGTCTCAGAAGTGGGAAGTGCTGTCTGACACCTGCTTAGGTAGGACGTAAAGAAGAGAAAGCCACCACTGGAGGGTGACAGTTCACCCACACAGCCAGCTGAGCCCAGTGGGGCCAGATGCACGCGTGCGTCATAAACAGGTCTTTACCTAAACATAACTGAAATAGGACAAGTTTTCCTCAGAAAACACTGCCGCTGGATCTGGGTATTGTTAGCTACAAACTAGATCATTTAAGTTCAGAAATTATTACAAGTTGGATTTATTTATGATATTATTGGAATATTTAAAATTCTGTCCTGCTTTTAGTTTCATTTTACCTGTAGCAGTTTTCTTATCTCTAGCTACCTAGTAATCTTGCACTGACCACCTTGTTTTGCCTGGCCTCTAATTACATCATGCTCTGTTTTAAAGGTGCATCCTCCAGCAGGCAGTAGCAACCCTAGTTCAGCTCCACTGAGAAGAACCCAGGCTTCAACCCCCAAAGTTAGGAAAAGTGTCAGCAGTCGAATCCATGAAGCAGTGAAAGCCATTGCCCTTTGCCACAATGTGACCCCTGTCTATGAGGCTCGGGCTGGTGTCACCGAGGAGACAGAGTTTGCCGAAGCTGATCAAGACTTCAGTGATGAGAACCGAACCTACCAGGCATCCAGCCCCGATGAGGTCAGTTGGCCTTGCTTAAGGGATCTTGTTTCAGGTTATTTTCATAGCGCAAACTGTGTGATCTCTATGGAGTTCAGTTCAGCTTAAGAGCCACAAGGATTGCTTTTCTCTGGAGTGAGGACACAGGGCAGTGTCCCAGCTTCTAGCTGAGCCTTAGCTGAGGGCTAAGGCTCATGAAAGTTGCATATGACTGTCCTCTAAGAACAGAGGCTGCAAGGATGATGATGGGAGACCAGAATCCCTTCCTAGGGAAGACAGACCCACCGACCAGCATGGAAGGAGGGAGGGAGAGGGGGAGGAAAGTGGAAAGGTAACATTAATCATGACCGGGGAGCAGGCAGACACCGGCCCTCTGACACTAGCCACCAAACAAACCTTTCCTCTTTTAAGTTGTTTCTGTCTGGTATCTCCTCTATCATGTTGTATTTGATATGTCAGAGTAACTATTTCCTGACCTCATGGATCTCAGGCTGCAGGAGAAATGGAGCTACTGATCTTCTGGTAGAAAGGAAGTGAATGTGTGATCATCTAAAAACAGGCTTAGAGGAAGAAGGGGCCACTAAGAATTACTTCAAGTAGGACCTGGTTCTTCTGCTGTGGCAAGGCTATTCCCACAGTGTAGAAGGAGTTTGCCTTGATGCTGTTCCTTCTTTTGAGTCACACTTACACTCCTCTCTTTTCAGAAAACAGAATCTGAAAATTAGGATTAGTTAAACTATTGGCCGTTTTCATGAATCCTACAATAGAACTTGTTTCTAGTAAAACAGGCAATGCAGAAGGTAGAGCTCCATTTTTGGCTCAAGTACTCATTGTAGTACTCTTTGTCTCCATCATTTAGTTGCTGGGTTTTATCTTTAGGCTCCCTACACCACCATCACCAACAGATTTTGCTGGCTGGTAAATATGTACACATCTCTCATAGCCATGCTGGTATGACTGGTAGAATCAGAGTGTGTCAAAAATTTTTATGTATTGGTAAGGAACTTATAATACACAATTCAACAATCTAAAACTTACAAGATGTGTAGTTAAGATTGGCATGACTAGCCAGGCGCCAGTGGCTCATGCCTGTAATCCTAGCTACTCAGGAGGCTGAGATCTGAGGATCACGGTTCAAAGCCAACCCCGGCAAGGAAAGTCCGTGAGGCTTTTAGTTCCAATAAACCACTAAAAAACCGAAAGTGGCACTGTGGCTCAAGTGGTAGAGCCCTCGCCTTGAGCTGAAGAGCTGAGGGACAGCGCTCAAGCCCCACGACCGACCAAAAAAAAGAAAGATTGGCATGACTTACAAACTACCAACTTCTTGGCTTTCCAAACATTGACACAGATGCATACAGGGCATTGGTAGCTGCTTCTTGGAAGGAAAAGGAGGTACTTTTCTTTTTCTCTTATAGAAAGGCTGAGATACACTGTTTCTTCTATTGTACTATGCATTCCAGAAATCCTCAACCTTCCATATGATTACATGTTGAAAAGGAAGTACTTGCTACTTCTGAATATGCCAAAAGAAGTGTGAATTTTGTTTAAAGTCTCCAGGGTTTTTACAGTTTTTTCATGATGTTTCTTAAATTTTCACACAAGGATTCATAGCAGAGAGATTTCATTGATTCAAAGATAGCTAAGGTTTTAGAGAAATTATAACAGAAAAACTGTTAATCTTATATTTGACTTTTGGACTTGTTTGGAAATTGGAGCAATTAAAGGTAGCAAACAGTAGATACCTGCGCAGAATCATAACACATAGTTTACGTTTAAGGATGAAAACTATTGACTTTATCATAATTTTTAAAGAACAATATCGATGTGATGTGTTCAGACCCAGGGCCTCAGGAAAATCATCAGAATGGCCCATTGCTGAGCATATTGAACTTTGCCGCTGTTGGGTTGACAGATGATAGCAGTGCTTCCCAATCACCAAAGTACCATTCTAAAGCATTTTTTATTGAATAAAGTGCTCAGAATATTGCACCCTAGAGCTTTATTTAGGGAAATGGTTCAATTGATGTTCCCTGTTTAACCTCAGCTTTGACCTATCACAACATACATGGTTAATAAGCAGCATTATCATTTAAGAGTCTTTAGTTTTATGTAATCCTCATCAGCGCCATTCTTATCACCCTCCTAGCTACGTGGCTCTGCGTTATGCAGCTCCATTCAAAGAATGTGATTTGAGGGCCCTGGTTTTGTACATTGTGCAACCACACTACCCCATGGCCTCCATTGGTCTGAGGCACCTGTACCATCTCACTCTGAGGAAGAGTGTAATTTGCTAAGTGGAGTGCCCTGGTTTTTGAGTCTGTAATGTCACAGTTGCTGCTCTCCCTTATGTGAGCAGCTTTGATTCTCATTTTCTTCCAAGCAAAAGGACCTTTTCTCTTACCTACACGTGTGCACAGCTGAGTTTTATTATACAAGTATTGGAACTCTGAGGTAATTAATTTTGAATAGAGTCCTATGAGATACAAGCACTAAATACTTCCAGTGGTCTGTTACCTGTGCTATATTTGAGATATTCGAAGGTAGAGAAAGTGGTGGTGATGATGTCCAAGTGTAAAAATCACTGATTCTGTATTCATGAAGTAGAACCTACTTATGCCCTGGTCATTGTTTCTTATGATAAGTGATCAATATTTCATTTTCTCTAAGAGAGTAGAAAGTTCTGCTACCCTGTCAATTTATCTCTACAAGCTCAGCATAGTAAACTCCAGCTGAGCAAATGTTAACTGTCCTCTGGAAATTCCTTCACAGAATTAAAAGCCACTCTTTTTCACTGTTTTAAGTACATGTCCAGTGCATTTACAGAAAGCCCATGCTAAAACTCGGATGATGAGCAACCGTAAAAGAACATAAACTCATAACCTCAGAATACAGAAGTCATCAATGCAGGCGATCAAGGCAAAGGATGACCTCTGCTACTTGTGGTGCGAAAAGATTGATTGTCCACGATTATTAATGACTGTTTACTCCCATAAACTAGCCATTCATTAGTAGCATTCTCTCCCTCTCTTTGGCTACATTTTCTCATCAGTAAATTCTGTATTAAATAATATTCTAAGATGTAGCTATTACTGGCCTTATTCCAGCATTTGTATGCAAAGAATCAACTGAAAATAATGACAAACCACAAGTGGATTTTTTTTTAAGAACAGAAGAATGTTAGTTAAATGGTTGACAGCACTGTTTTCAGATTTACAGACATAAGCACTGGTGGTTGTAGTGTGCTCTATCTTTTATTAGTGTATATTAAGTTTTATTGTGATATTTCCTTACGTGCATATAGTGGTCTTTGGTTATAGTCACCCCTTCTACTATTTTGTGTGCTTTATTTTTAAATTCATTTTATTGTGTGTATCTATTGAAGCAAGACTAATTGTGAGGTTTTGTCAATATATTTGTGAGGAGCAAATCATTGTCATGACATGAAGCCTTCACTCTGTGACCTTCAAGACCAATAGGGAATAAATACTACATTGCCTGTCTGTGAATATTGATTAGCAGTTTTTCCAGATGATCAAATTGCATTTTAAGTTAATAATTCTATTAAATTATAATGATGATTGTAATAACCACAATCAAAAATGATGAGATGTCATTGACTAGGTTATGATTTGTAAAGTACATGGTAAAAAAAAAAGTATCCTTAGAGGATTTCTGTCAAGCTTTTCAAGACTAGTCGTAGCACAGAAATTTCTGATAATGAAATTATAGAGAAAAAGTAATCATCTTCCCCTGGATCTCATTTCCCCTGTAAGATAGAACTCTGGGATATGCTTTCCTGCCTGGTTATACAGCATGGAAAAGTGTGACAGGCAAATGGAGTGCCTGTGACAGAAAAGCTACTTAGTGGTGGCTAAGTGACCTATAAGAGGTAGGGAGGAACCAAAGGAGGGAAGGAAGAAAGGGAAAGAAAAAAGAAAAGAGCCCATGCACCTGTGGCTCACGCCTGTAATCCTGGCTATTCAGGAGGCCGAGATCTAAGGATTGTGGTTCGAAGCCAGCCCGGCAGACAACATAGTAAGACTTACCTCTCCAGTTAATCAGAAAAGCTTAAAGTGATAGAACACTACTAGTCGTAGAGCACAGAGGCTTGGGGGCAGTGCCCAGTCCCTGATTTCAAGCCCCAGGACCAGCACAAAACCAAACAAAACCCAACCAGTGATCCTTACCCAAGCATGCAAAGGAACTCTATAGCCACCTGTGACTCTGCAGACTCGGGAAATTCCTTCAGGCTGTATGTGGCATTCCCAATGCTTTTAACAGGAGTCAAAATACACTAGAAAGGAGAATGAACTTCTGCTTTTAAGGAGTATCTCTGAAGAGTTGAGGTTAACATGATTTTCTTCTAGTGAGTGAAACAAGTCAAGGAAGGAAAAAATAACAGCCTCATCAATTGAAAAAGAAGCAAGACTTAAAATGTGAGATTTCTAAGACTATACAGGACAGTATCAACAGTACTGCCAAGTAAATGATCAGAATTTCTCTAAAGCACTGTGTTCTTTTTTCACAGTTACTTTACAGTAGTGGTCTAAGTGGTTCTCTCTGACATTTGGCAGTTAGTCTGGTGTTCAGTCTAGCAGCTGTCGTGGTGAAGGATGCCAGAGTTGTCACGCACAGCAGGTGATACGGATCTCATTGTGGACCGTTCAGTAGCACCTTGTTGGTAGAACTAGGTAGGAGTCCCTAAGGTTGTGGTCTTTTAACTTCTCACCTTTGATAGCTGTGGTACAGGCTTTATCCCAGCCAGCCGTGCAGAGTCAAGGTCCTGAACTCCTGTTTTGTTCAGACCTGGTAGACAATTTCCTGTCGTATTCTCCACCATCTTATCTTTTCACCATAGGAAGTCTGGCTTCTGTTTGACTGGCAGAAAAGTGGTGATTAATCACTGAGACTAGAAGATGAGACTAGACACAGACCTTCCTTAGCACTATGAAGTATTGAGGTCTTTTTCTAGATGTGTGAACTTAAAAGTGTGAAACATTTTTATCTATAGGGACTTCAAA